ATCCTCTTGAGGCAGTTCCTTCAGCGGCAGAGGGGAAAGAGCCGACAGCATCTACAGTACAGTAAGTGTAGTGTACCTGGCTGTATAAATCTCTGTGAAACATTGTTTAATCGTGTGGAGTCATATGCAACGATTTTTCGGCTTTAGCAGGCGGTTGCGGGCTAGTTAATACGGTACAATCTGGATCTCATCTCCACCTCTGAGCTCAGCTGCAACGAGAAACGTGCGGAATGAAGCTGGAGCCCAGCTGAACTTGTGCTCAGTGCGGCGCTGAGCGCTCAGCATCGCTGTTGTTCTGATTAGCACGAACTGCAGCTCTGAATCAGAACATTTCAACTCATCCCAGCAGTAAGTTGATATGTAGACCGTGATTACTTTGTTTCGTGTTAGTATACAACTGAAGAGAGGCATTTGATAAAAAAAAATACCAGATAGGGGTACGTATTGACCAACGATAATAGCAAATAGGCACGAAGCTGTAGGTTGGCGTTTGAACTTGTGCCCTATAATAGAAGCATTTATTTATTGGGATAAATGATATGAATTCATAGGGAGAGCCTTCTGACTAGCAAGCGAGCAGATCGCCGTTTTGATTTTATAAGTAACATTTGTGCGCAATGATGGAAATGTACGTGTTGTAATTTGAGGGGCTACAGTTGTTGCACCTCCTTTAAGAGTCAGTGTTTGTGGACGTTCTCCGTTAGAGGCACCGCGTTACAGGTATGTTAAGCGATGACTGACAGGGGCATGTACTACAGTTTCCTTACAGCCTAATGGCGCTCACTGAAGTTGCTCCCTCTTCAAACCCATTGTATTCGTTTGTGCGGTTGTGTTGCTCAGATTTCCCGAGCTGTATCGCTTTATTTCTGCGGAAGAATCCCACCGCCAACGGCGCAGGATAACTGAACCGCTGTGACTCGTTATTGCTCCATTGCAACAAAAACGTTACGGTAAGGAGCTCCCGTCGGTAATAAGACGACAACTTAACCTACTACTCCCAGGTAACTAGTGGGTGACTTGTGTAACCTAACTCATTTGACATTTTTGCAGAACGAAATCTGGTGATGCCTATTCTGGTCTTGCAATAATAGACCAGCATACCTGTACATGCATCCCCAACTTTCCCCTCATTAAATGGGGGAACGTTTTCCTTCACATGGCATTGTTGCCCAAGAAATCCTACTCCCCAAGGCATGGTTATCAATGACTGTCCTCCCACTGAACCACATCCACCCCAACAGATCATAGAAATTAATTACATCCAGTGACACCTTGACTTTATTGCTCAGACAATAGTTACAGAATCATAACAGGTCAGAGGATCACCATACACACCATCTTTGT